AGTACGGAGCAAGAGAGACACCTCAGCCTGCCGGGTGCATAGGAAGCTCCCAGGGTACCTGGAGTCAATCACTTGCACCTTGTGGTCCCCTGGAACTGCCAAGAGTGACCTCTGATGGGCCAGAGAGACAATACAGGGAGGAGGGCACTTGCTTGCATACTGCTAACTTGGGTTCAATCCCTGGCACCCCATATGTTCCCTCCACGCCTGCCAGGAGTGATCCCTGACTACACAATTGGAGGTTAGCTCTGAGCATAGCTGGGTTGTGCCCCCACCAAAAAAAAAAAAAAATTCCAAAAATTTCTCACGTCAGAGTGAAGGTTCCCTTCCTCAGTAAAGGATCCTTGTCTCTGGGGTTCTGAGCCTTAAGCAGACAGGCCTCTGGCAACCGGGGGTAGGTTGGCGGGGGGGGGGGGGGGGGGGGGCGACTTCAGGAAGCGCTTCCACCGCCACAGCAAGAGCTAAGCTGGGCGGGAGCAGAGAACACAGCAAGGGTCCCCGTTTCCTGAGGACACCGCCTCAAATGTCCACACTTAGACTTTCACAAAGTTCAGCCGGAACACCGCCTCCTGCCTGAGGCCAGCACCTCTCCCAGCCGAGTTCTAGAAAAATCCTTGCCCAGGCAGGCTGCAGCTGGGAGGCTTGATAGCACAGGATGAGACCCCAAGCTGGAGTTCCAGCCACGGCACTGCATCCCTCTACCCCATGACCCTCTTTGGGTGCCCTCAAAGCAGAGGGCAGGAGACCTCTGCCCCGGGCTCTGCTCTCAGCTCTGCCTCTTTGGCTCTGTGGGGACACTCAGCACTCTGCAATGTCCTCAGAGAAACTCTGGACATTTGATGGGAAGGCTGAGCCTCCTCGAGGGCTACTTAGGGATCCTCATAGCTATATGCTGCAGGGCTGCCCCTGGCAGAGCTCGGGGGACTATATGTGGTGCCAGGAATTGAATCAGTGTCAGCAACATGAAAGGCACCTTAGTTCCTTACTCCAGTGATTGACCCCAAGTATGGAAGGGCAGTTGGAAATGATCACTCTGAACCAGAACTGAGTGCTGAAAGTAGGACAACCTTTCAGTATCTGTATTACAAACCATAATGCCCAAAAGGAGAGAGAGAGAGAGAGAGAGAGAGAGAGAGAGAGAGAGAGAGAGAGAAAGAGAGAGGGAAAGAAAGAAAGAAAGAAAGAAAGAAAGAAAGAAAGAGAGACAGACAGAGACAGACAGAGACAAAGACAGAGACAGAAGAAAAGTGTAAGTGTCTGCCATAGAGGCAGGTAGGTTGGGTATGACAGGAGAGAAATTGAGCATATTGGTGGTGGGATATATGCACTGGTGAAGGAACAGGTGTTGGAACATTCACTGTATCACTGTATCACTGTCATCCCATTGTTCATCGATTTACTCAAGCGGGCGCGAGTAATGTCTCCATTTGTCCCAGCCCTGAGATTTTAGCAGCCTCTCCTTACTCGTCTTTCCTAATGCTGCCATATTGGAGGCTCTTTCAGGGTCAGGGGAATGAGACCCGTTATTGTCACTGTTTTTGGCATTTCGAATACGCCACAGGGAGCTTGCCAGGCTCTACTGTGTTGGAACATTACATAACTGAAACCCAATCATGAACAACTTTGTAACTGTGTATTTCACAGTGATTAAAAAAACTTTTTTTTTTCCAGAATGGAATGGCACATGAATGTCCACCTGCCTTGCACTGTGAGCTCAGGGCTCTGGAAGGGCTGCAGGATGAGGAATGAGGAAGGGGAGACGCCTGCCCAGGAACGAATTGGAGAACGAAACTGCCCTTGCTGTGAGACAGTTCTGCCACCCGGATCCACAAGTTCTGGAACTTCAGCTTTTTCCATCTGCAGATGCTCCACAGAGGTGCCACAGGCAGCCCTTTACACCGGCCTGAATTGGTGTCTCAAGAGGACGGGGGCACTGTTGTCCCAAAGCCCTACAGCTCTGGATGGTGCAGACTGAGCTTGCAGTGCCAGAGTGAGGAAAAAGACCCGAACAGCACCAGCTCAAAGAAGTGGGCACTTCCATCCCCCAGTTCTCCAGAGACAAGCTCTCAGAGCTGGCTGGGTTTTTGCTCAAGAGGCTTTGCACAGTCCCGGGTTGCTCTCAACGAGCTTTGAGCCTGGGGGTGCTCTTGTGGCCCCGCTCCAGCCCCCTTTTCTCTGGCTTTGCACTCCTTGCCGTCAAACAAAACGCTGAAGCTTTGCTCAAAAGGGATTTCCAGTTGGAGGTCTCATTTCCTTCTCATCCATCCTCAGGCACAGGACTGCCAGGTGAAAGGTGGGGGATATTTTGGGGGCTCCTAAACCAGAGCTGGGTGCAGTTTTTGCCTTGAGCTTGCAGACGTTGGCCCCTGGGGACAAAGGGGTGTCAGATGAGGAGGCTTCTCTGGGTTCACTGGAGATGGTGCCAGTTTTGCTGGGAGCAATCCTGGAAGCCTGGTGTGCCCAGCCAGGACGGCAGCTGGAAGCAGAGGCCAGAAGTGCCCACGGAGTAGTCCCCACCCCCCATTTCACCCTCCAGGTTCAGCAGTGACCACACCAGGCCCTCAGGACCCTGACTTGATCAGCATGTGCCAGACAGTGGGGTGATCATCAGCCCCCAGGGTGGGCTCCCTGTTGTGAGCTTCTTGGTTTGTGCTTTTACCTCATGAGGGGCCCAGCCTGGAGCTCTCTGAGGCAAGAATAGGGGTGATGTGGTCGCAGTTCTCCATGCACCCCAGGCACCCACAAAAGCTGGACTGTTCTGGAGTCTTCCTGGTGGCTTCATGCCAGATGCTCCCAGAGCTTTCCAGAACAGCCATCTATGCTCAGGAGATTCTACAGAACCAACAGCAGGCAGTGTAAGTGTCAGGGTCCAGCCAACCCAGAGAACCACTAGACCAGGTTTTAATCTTTCCCTTTCCTTTTTTTTTTTTCAATAGAGGCCACCTGAGTGGTCCTTCAAGGGGTGGTACCTGGGTGGTCGCTGGTGGTGCCACAAGGTTGCAGTGCCAGGGATGGAACTTCAGCTTGGGGCTCACCCTGCAGGCCTGGGGCTGCCCAGGTTCTGGACCCCAACCAATTCCTCCATATCGTCACTAAGAGCTGTAGCCATGTGCCACCCACAGGGCCCACACCATCACATGTGCCTCCGCATCATCACTGCTCTGATCAGATGCCAAGAAGACCTTCCTGGGTGTCTAGGAGGCAAGGCTTGAGTGCACAGCTGGGCAGAAGGCAGGCTCCACTGAGGTGGTCCTCCTCTCCTTGTCCTCCATCCCGCTCCTCACTTAGGAGATGGTGGAATTGGGGCCAGCACTCCCCGAAATCTTCTCCATGTGGTCTGAGCCCCCCACCCCCACCTGATGCCCTTGCTCTGGGTTCTTACCCGAAACGCATCTGGGCCACGAGGACTCGCTTCATATCCCAACTAGACCTGGTCTCCTCAAGGGCACAGGCAGGCCCCTGGCCCATGCCCCTCAGGTATTTTATTTGGGGAGCATGCCGACCCTTTAAGGGGACCCACTGAACCTTCCCTTTGCCACAGACTCCTCTGGTGCTCCACTTTCCCAGGAAGTGGGTCTGCCAGGCCTTGGCTGCAGGCTTGGGGCTGCACATAGCCAGGGCTGCAGGCGGGCTGGGGGCAGGCTGGGAGGCTCTGGGTACCTCCTGCTCCTCGCCGGCACTGGCACAGAAATGGCATGTTTCTCCCCTGCCCCCTCAGAGGACTCACACCCAGCGTGATCTTGTCTCCCGGCACCCCAGGAAGGTAACGTGAGGCTACTCGTGTCCACTTCACAGACAGCAAGGGACACCTCCAGGCCGCGTACACTGCTGACCCACGGAGGTCTCCAGGCATGCCCTGCTGGCACAGGGGGCCAACACCTGTGTGTCCTGCTGCAGGCGCTTCCTCAGAGAGCAGCCTCTGTTGGTGCACACACACACACATACAAATACATATACACATACAAGCACACACAAACACATGCATATTCTCACATACACATACACACATTCTCACACCCATACACATGCCCAAGTACACATACACATATACTCATACATATGCACATGTTCACACACTTGCACGCACATAGACACACATATGCATGCGCACACATGCACATGTGCACACACACCTTCACACACATGCATTCTCCCACACATATGCAAGCATACTTACACGCACACACATGTACTCACGCATGCACACGTACATACATGCTCACACAGATGCTCACACACGCACACATACATATACACACAAGCTCTCACATGCATGCACGTAAACAAGAAGCAGGCAGGTAAATATACATGTCCACACTATCACATACATGCACATTCATACACATGTTCACACACACACCACACGTGCGCGCACACACATGCACACATACACACACACACACATATACACACCCTCCCTTCACAAGCTCTGCACCACAGAAAGATGATGCCCAACACCACAATTCAAGTTCCACAAAAAAGCCTTTCAGACAACCGACAGCGACCCAGTCCTGGAAACTGAGGCTGGAGCGACCCAGTCCTGGAAACTGAGGCTGGAGCCGGGAGAACTGGCCGAGCTCACAGCCCCCTCGAGCGGGCTGCGGCCAGCGCGGACTCAGGCTGCAGCGGGGCTGGTCCTGTGCGTGGGGGTCCGGGCGCGACGGGGCAGCCGAGCAGAAAGCACCAGCGTCGCCGGCCGCAGCCCCGAGAGCGAGCGGGGTCCCGGGCCGACCTCTCTCTCGGGGGCTGCCGGGGAGGCTGGGAGAGGGCCGGGAAGTGACCGCGACCTGCGGCTCGGCCCCGCGTGGCCAGCCTCAGGCCCGGGTTTCCAGGGGGCACGGAACTTTCTTTTGTCCTCCGCGTCCACCCAGCGCCGCGTCCGCCGCGCCCCCTCGGGCAGGAGCGCTGCGGGGCCTCGCGGGGGCGGGGGGCGGGGGGCGCGACCCCCGGGAGGGGCCGAGGCGCCGGCGTGCAGGGGCGCGGGGTGGGGGCCGGGGTCCCGGGCTGGCCCCGGCCCGCGGCTCCTCCCCCGCCGCGCCCCGCCCGGCCCGGGGCGGGACCCGCCCGGGCGCGCCGACCAGGTGCAGCGCCCGGTGTCGGGGGCCACTGGGCCCGCAGCAGCGTCGGAACCAGGTAACCGGGGCGGGAAGTTCGCGGCGGGGGCGGCGGGGCCGGCCCAGAGCTCGGAGCCGCGCGGGGCCCCCCGCCCCGCCAGCCTCCGGGGCACGGGGTCCCGCGCGGGCTGGGGGCGCGCTCTCCGGACGGCGGCGGCAGGGGGCTCCCCGCGGGCACGGCCGGCGGAGGGGGCCCTCGGGACGCTGCCCGGCGGGAGGGGGCAGCTCCCGCCGGGGCAGACGGGCATCACCCGCGACCCCCCACCCCGGGCGTGCGCGAGCCGCGATGCCTCTGCGGGCGGCGGAGGGCGCCCCCTGCAGGCAGGCCGGGAAGCCCACCCAGGAGGCCCGAGGGGGCACCGCGGGCAGGGCGCCTCGGGGCTAGGTCCTCGGTGCCCCGCGTGGTCCTCCGAGCCGGCCGGCGGCGACCCCCGAGCACAGAGCCAGAGTAAGCCCAGAGCACCGCTGGGTGTCCCCCAAAACAAACCCCCAAAAAGGTTTTTTTAAATTCAAGTAAAATCCCCACCCCCGTCTTGCCCACCAGGAGGGAAGGAAGCCCAGGGTGGGGCAGGACCTCAGACGCCCCAGCTGGAAACTAGGGCGGGCAGCGCCACCCCTGGGATGCCCGGAGAGCCAGCACAGGTGGCTCCCGAAGGCCCCCGAGGAGAGCTTGCCCCTGGGGCCACACAGACCCCCAGAGGAGTGGTTGCCTTCCAGGGAGATGGCAGGGGGGTGAGACATTCTGCAGTCAGCTGGCGCAGATGGATTCCTCGCACCACGTGGTCCCCACCCACTGGGTGTGGCGTCGGAGGCCCCAGGCATGCTGGGGTGACCTGGCTAGGCCTGGGCAACCTTAGGGCCTTGAGTTGGACCACAGCCTGGTTGGCCAAGAATCACCAGCGGGCACCCCCTGACCTCAGGAGGTGACCTCCACCTGAGAGTCCCCCAAGACCCTGTAAGGACACACAGGATGGAGAGACTCCATGTGAATGACGTGTTAGGAGGGGTGGAGGTCCGTGAGCCCTGCTGGGTAGCATCTGGAACTTCAGAGGGTCAACGCATCTTCCGTGGACATCCATCACCCCCTCCCCCCGCACCCCCCCACATACACACATATGCACACTCAGGTACATGCACTACACAGGAGCACACACAAGCACACACATACACAGACATGTACACACACTCGCAGGCACATATACACATGCGCACATTACATGGGGACGTGCATGTGTGCGTATATGCACACACTCACACAGACATACAAACATACCACCCCAGTGGCGTCTGCAGCCAGCGTTGTTTCAGCAGAGGAATCTTATCTGTGTTTAAAAACAAAACTTTGCGATGTGCGCTGGTTTTGAGGGGAAGAAAATGTGGCAGGAGCCACGGAGGAAGCTCTTGCAGGCTTGCAGCGGGCAGCTAGGACCCTGGAAGTGTCTCTCCTGCTCACACACTCAGAGGAAATGCAGGCCCGGCCTCCCTTCCTGGCCGCAGGGGTGGGAGAGAGCCACAGTGAAAGTAAGAAGTAGTCATAAATGATATTTTGGGTTTTTTTTTTTTTTTGCTTCTGTTCTTCTAGTATTTTGGTGGGAGGAGTTCTCCCCCAGCAAGGTTCATGGCACACTCCTGGCTCTGTGCTCAGGGCTTACTCCTAGATCTGTCCTCAGGGAAAACTCATGGCAGGGCTCAGGGGACCATATACGGTGTCAGAGATCCAATCCAGGTCTACCACATGCAAGGCAATGCACTGCCGCTCCAGTCCCTGTGTAGTACATGCTTACCAAGTGCCACGTTTTGCTTAGCATGTCACGTGTGTTTGTAAGGTGAAGTGACACAGGAGGCTGAAATTCTCATCTCATTTTACAGACGAGGAAACCGAGTCTCAGAAAGGTGGCTTTGCTTTGCCCAAGATGACACTTGGTGGGGGCAGAGCCTTGTGGGGGTGCCCCAGGATGATCCTAAGCTCATGCCAGACCTTCGCCCTTCCCCTTCACACCATGAGATCTCAATGCAACCACGGATCCCACATACGCGGGCTGAGCGCCCGGAGCCGAGGGTGAGGCCTGGCTTCCACAGAGAAAGAAATTCTTGTTCCACCACACAGTAGATCAATGGATGCCTCCCACAAACCCTGCTTTGGCCCTCAAAGTCTTTTTCTGACGGTCACCGTGGTTAGTCCAGTTACAAATTGGGATGCACTGGAGACTTGATTTGGGGGAGGGGGCAGACTCCAGACATTAGGCCTTGGAGAAAGGTAGAGAAATTTCCCAGCTTTTTATTGGGAAAAGTGGGGAAGCAGGGGCTGGGCCAAGTGGAAGCAGCCATGAGAATCGTTTGTCTGAAGAAATGATTCTACAATGGTGACCCCAAGCCTGAGGCCCTTGCTTGTTCGCCAGCACCTCCTGAGGGACTCCTTCCCCTACAGAGGGGGAGCCCTGCTGAGGCATGGCTTGGGTACTTTATTGTCCCCTGACCTTTCTGTCACCACCCTCGACAGAAAGTGCTGGTGGCTTTTATCAGCAGTGGTGGAAAAGTCCGTCTGTTGTCAGATGAGATGAGTCAGGCCTTTATAAATAATGGGGCTGTACTGTCAGCGCCGAGGCCTGGGCTTGGACCCAGGGTCCCCGGGGAGGGAGAGGACAAGGGGGAGTCTCTCTCGACGCTGTACTGGAATTCTGTGGGGGGGTCTTGAGCGCCACCAGGTAGGAGAGGTGGAATCATACTTGGAGGAAAGATAGCGTGGCCAGAAGCGTGTCCTTCACCTGTCAGACCTTGTCCTGAGCAGGAGCTGTTCAGAGCTGCTTCACTCTGGGTCTGACCCCAGCCCACATGTAGTGGCCACTTGAGTGGCAGATTTTTGTTTGTTTGGGGGACACACGCGGCTGTGCTCAGGACTTATGCAGTGATAACTCCTGGTGGACTTGGAGGACCGTATGGGGATGCCATGGGTTGAACCCAGGTTGGCCGCGTGCAAGGAAAGTGCCATACCTGCTGTTCTTGCTGTTCGATTGCTCCAGCCCCTGGAGTGGCAGATCTTACATGCGCCCACAGCCCTGCCACATTCTTCTTTGCTGATGGGGAGACCTGGGCAGAGATTTATTCAGAACAGAGGTGTCGAGCCCGGCCCTCTCGTGGATGCCAGCTCCCTTCACCCAGATTCAGCCCCTCTCCCGCTGGCCGCCTGACTTTACTAGCTGGCGTGGCTGCCGGTTCTGAGTCCACTTTTGACACTAACTCCTTTCCTTGGGTCCTTTCATTTCCTGGGCCTCAGTTTCTCCATCTGTAACAGACACAGCTGGGCTTCCGTCAGTGTTTCAGCCTTAGTGGCAGGGCCCCGCTGGGTACTGTGGGCCATTCCATAGCATCTGGTTCTGCACCCGCTAGGAGGGCCATCCCTCTCTCTTCTTCAGCGACAACGATGTCTCCAGACCTTGTCACGGGATCTCTGGAGGCAGAACTGTCCCTGGCTTAGATGACACCCCACCTCCAGGCTGGGAAGACTTTCTCTGGGAGTCCTGCATTGATCCATGCGGACAAAGAAGAACATGGCTGGAGGAGCATCAGGGGCATGGGGGGTTGGGGGGGACGGCTGACCCTGGGTCCGCTGGTCTCTTGCTGTTAGCCAAGGCCAATTGTTGTCTCTGGCCCTGGGGTTACGTAAGCAGGTGGGGGCAGGGGAGGCAGGCGTATGTAGGGCCCACACACTGAGGTCAGCTCTTCCAGCGAGTGACTCATGTGCCCGAAAGATCCAGCTTCTCCTTCACAGTCCCCTCTCACACGGCCCTGGGAGGGGACACAGGAAGTGAATCAGCCACCGCTGGGCAGAGGAGAAGGAACACAGCTGTATCCACTGCAAGGGCCGCCGTGCCTGCTGCGCCCACCCAGCCCTGCTTGGGCTCCGTTTTCTTTTTCTCCCGGGTTGGCTGTTTATTAATTGTGTCTGCTCACCCCTCTCTCTCCTGCCCACTAAACCTATTGGAATGGTGAATATTTATTTTCTCCAGCTGTCGGAAGGGTTGTCAATGAATCTTGGAAGTAAATCACTGTTCTGGGGCTGAGAGGCTGTGAGGTTTGGGGTGGCGTGAGTCCCCGGGCACTAGGGTGTGGCATCCTCACGGTTCTCCTGGATGGACTGTGGACACCCCGTGTCTGTGGTAGGAGCAGGAAGGGAGCAGTGAGAGGGACACCGCCCCTGACCATAGCAACCTGCTGTCTGCTTTCAGCCCCAGCTGCAGACCTCCAGGTACGTGCCTGAATGTTCTCCCATGTCCTGGAGCTGTGGATGCACAGCCCAGATCCACACTCCCTCTGTACCGTGTGTCCATGGCTTCATCTGTGTGCTGGTCACATCGGAGTTTCCTTCCTTTGGGGAGCTGAATCATATTCTCTTACAGGCAGTGACCACCATGTGTCCATTCATTGATGAACTGGGTTACTTGCGCCCTTGGGGTATTGTTTGTAAAGCCACTACGAAGGTGGGTGACAAAAGTTTTGAAAGTCTGCTTTTAGCTCTATAGGGTGTATACCCCAACACAGAATTGCTGGGTCACTGGGAAATTCTATGCTTATGTTTTTTTTTTTACTTTTTGGGTCACACCCGGCTATGTACGGGGGTTACTCTTGGCTTTGCACTCAGGAATTACTCTTGGCGGTGCTCGGGGGACCATATGGGATGCTGGGAATCGAACCCGGGTTGGCCGCGTGCAAGGCAAATGCCCTACCCACTGTGCTATCGCTCCAGCCTCGTATGCTTATGTTTTTGAGGGCCTGCCTTGGAGTTGAGAAACCAGCCTTTGATTCACGTTTGAAGGATGAACGTGGGGATGGTGGAGGGGAAGCCACGCGTTTGGAGGGAACCGTTAGTGTACAAGAGGGCTTCATGGGAAGAGTTGGATTTTAGTCTCCCTTCCCTTTTTAATGGAACAATATGTATCACATGAAACGAATCTTTTTAACTGCTTTTAAATTTCCAATCCATTGTCATTAAACACACCCCCATTGTTGGTCACCCTCACC